TTGAAACCGAACTCCCCAACCTGAGCTCGTTGGTCGGAGTCGGAAGGGAATCTGCACAGATTTTCCAGGATCCAGCATCAGAGGCCGATCCGGAAGTCGAGAGGCCTGCTATGGACAGTGAGTCTTCACAATTACTATTATCGTTACTGCTGCTTTTCTTTTCTATTATTCGCCATGATGATGACAGTTACTGTTAGCTGTTATTCGTTTCGAAACTCACTACGACTTGTGTTGTTGTTCTCTGTTTTGAGCTTGGTAATTGGAGAGTCTGCAGTACCGGCCGTATTTCTGGTTATGACGGCCACCGTGGGTTATGACTCACAGCTATGACTATGTAATAGTGAACCCTCGCACCAGTATTCCTACGTTGTAAGCACTAAGCTGTGGCATGGCATTAATGCTCAAGGTTGTTATCTAGTGACGATGTTGCTGTTGGCTTCTGCTAGTGGCGACAACGACCACGAAGGTAGTGATGTATTAGGGTATAGAAGCATGGCCAATCGTCGCCTCCGCTGCTATCCAAAACCCCGAACCCCGCCAGATGCTACACCAAGACTCTTTGGGTGTGTATATGTGCGGTTTGTTATCCTCACGAGTCGGTTGGTTCGAGCGGACCGTAGCATTTCGCCTAAGAGCCTGTGCTTCGCGGCTGCCCGGAAGCCTGAGGATTGTTTTCATTTTCAAAAAAGCCTTCAAAGCCGGAACCAACCCTCAAATCCGAAAACTCAAAAGCCCTAAACTCTATTAGGTGCTGGACATAACCTTTACGGGCTCGACATGGGAAAGTATAGTGGGTCTTACATTATGGCCTGAAGAAACTGGTCGTTGGTCGGAGTCTACGTGGATCATAGCATCACATAGCATGACAAGGGCAACGGTTTGGCAAATTTGGGGAACCCCAGCAGCGCGCCAGGGCTCTCAACAAAGCTCGCGCCCAGGCGGACGAGAGAGAGAGAGAGAGAGGGAGAGATCGAGACTGGCTGCTTAATTGAATCAGTTCAACAGTACCACTAGGTGGTAGAGACCCTAAACCCAATACCCTCACCCTACACCTGCATCATCAACCAAAGTCCTGTAAGGAGGTCAACTTAGGGCTGGTAGTGCCGCTGGAGACCGTTACACGAATCTCAGAGAGGGATCGACATGATCAAGAGATATTAGTGCCAGAAGGCATTTCAATCCAGACGGCCAAGCCACAGTATGTCATAAGGGTGGTTGTCAAAATTATGGCCCCTTTTGGGGTACCCTAAATAATAGGTGCCGTATTATAATAAGGACCCAAAAAGGGACCATAATTTTGACAACCACCCATAAGGTGGAACTTCGAGTGCTGTCAGGCCGACAATTTAAAGCCGAAGACCCAAAGCCAAATATCGAGCTCAGACACCCATATCAAGCCGCAAACCGCAGACTTTGCAGCCGAGATGGCTCAGGACCTTGAGGTTTAAGGCCGGGTCCCTAAACCCAAGCCCTGAAGCTTTCAAATGGTTGAAATTCTGCGGAATCCATAGCAGTTGCAGTTGGAAATGGTCGGGCAAGGACATTGCTGTCTGCGGCTTCAGATTAGGTATAGTGCGAAGACCCCTGACACCGCAATACTATGCATCATCGCTGCTGGCGTATTGCTGTTTTTGTGCGACGACTTCTGCTAGGCTTGTGATGCCCTGTTGACAAGTCAAAATCTCCAGCCCCCAACTCTACCTCATCCTTGCAATCTTCGAGGGTCTTGAGGCTTAACCCTGCAGCCTAAAACCCACATCGCCTAGACTTCATGCTTTCAGTCCCTCATGAATGCTGAGGATGCACGGCTTCAAGTTTGCGGCTGGAAAGACATCCTAAGGCAGCACGAACTAATGCGCCCCAAACACTGCACATCCCGAGCAGCAGCAGCTTGAACCCGATGCCTAAATCCTGGAACCTTTCTCCTTAAACCCTGCGTCCCTAACCCTAATCCCTGAACCGCACCCCAAGCCACAGTCTACACCCCCAGCTCAAGACTTTTTGACCCCAACAAGCAAGTCCTAAAGCCCCGCAAGGTGGCTGCCCAAGAGATCGAACAGAAGCTCGCCAAGGTAGGGTGCCTGGGTTTCCTCAACGGGAGCTCCGGTGCGAACATACATGAATGCTGGTGTTTAGTTTGCTGCTTACTTGAAACATGTTTTTTGTCAGAGACACCTGTGTGCTTGTGTATAGTCTGTATATTCGAGCTCATTAAGCATATCTATGTCCATTTTTATATGTATATACATACACATACACACAGGTATGCCCGTGAATTACTTTACTTGCCTATCTACCTACCCACCTGCCTACCTGCCAGTCTGCCTACCTACCTGCCCGCCTACCAGCCACCACCGACCGACTGCGCCCGACCACCGGACCGACATTTCCTATCACAGGTAGTATGCCATAGTATTTTGTATGTTTCTAATATTATACTATATTGGAATATTTTATATTGTGTTAGACGAAGCTATATTATACTGGATCATATTCTACTCGAGTGCATCTCATTATTTGATATGCAACCTGTTCCACAAGATACGCTTCACTATATATATATATATACACCGTCGATGAAACATACTTTTGCTTGCGTATTGTGCATACTATGTTATAACAAGTCTTACGTTACATGCTATATGTTTTATATCACATATTCTTTATGATATATGTTTACTAGTGACTATTTATTTCTCATATATGTAAAATATCTACATTTGTAACGTAGGTTTGTAGATTTTTCGTTTTTATGTCGCATACGTTCTTTAGTGCTTGCAAAACACTCAGTAAGACAAGTGATAATGACATAAGGTAGCATAATATGAATACAGCATCATATAATACATCAAAACATGTTTTGATAGAACCTACAACCATATAGGTTAATGTAATATAATGAAAAACAAGACAACATAATCTAATCTACTAAATCACATTACAATGTACTTATATGATATACTGTAATATAGTTCAATAAAACCTAATATAAAATAAAACGCATATATATGTATGTATTATGATATATCGTAAGCTATAGTACAGTAAAGTCAAGTATTGCCATGTAATGTAATGTAATGTAATGTAATGTAATGTAATGTAATGTAATGTAATGTAATGTAGTGTAATGTAATGTACTGTAATGTAATGTAATTAAATGCAATGCAGCAACAACGAGAGAATATCAACTAAACAACATACAATGACGTAGTACAGTATTTGTATGAAAAAACATATGTATATATATATATACAATATATATATATATATATAGGTACATCTCAGCCACGTACGCATGTATGTCTGCATGTGGATATCTATATACCATGTCGTATCATATTGTATACATATATATGTATACAGAGAGAGAGAGAGAGAGCCCATGTAATATGTTGTACCATACCATACTATAGTATATTATATGCCGCCATATCATACCACTAAATATTGCATGATACACATGTAGTCATATAGTTTATGTATTTTGTATTTCGTACGGTATAATATACTTGTGGCTGGGGCAGGAAGCAGAAGAACGAGAAGCACAAGAGGCGAAGGCTCCGAAGCAGGAGCCATCGCCCCCACCGCAGGCCTTTAGGGTTTAGGGGACTTCATCAAATAGAGCTGTTAGCCTTGAGCCCCGTTGGGCCTACCATAGGTCGGTCGGCTTTACTTGCCGTTTCAAAGTGTCCTGCGAGCGACCGGTGAATGACGTGGCTTGCCATGCAATTTCGATGAGCATCCTCATGTCCACGAGCCCGGTAGCCCTGGAGTCTCAACCCTGGCCTCAACGCAACGGAGCCCAGGCTTTGTTTGTGGTGAATCTTGCTTCGGGCCCCATGGTGCAGGCTCCCGCAAAGGATCCGCCTCCCCTCCCTGAGGCGCACGATTCGGGGTGAGTACTTGCTGTTCGGGGCTTCGATCTTCCCAGTTAGTTTCAGACATGCCGAATGTGTTTGCAGGCCGCGGAGCCTGCAAAAGGCCAACCCAGCGGACAGAGCATCCTCGTTGCAATTTGTAATTGATGATGTAGTCTCTGTATATTTTTAGGACAGCTCGCAGTAGTCGCTTTTTTCCTCATAACATTTGGTGTTGTGTTGCTTTGCTGCCGTCGTTGTATCATCTGTTGCTGTTGCCTCCTGCTCCTCCTGCTGCTACTTCTACTACCACCACCCTACCACGACTACCCACTACTTCTATTGCTACTACTCCTCCTATTACTACTACTACTACTACTACTACTACTACTACTACTACGACTACTACTACGACTACTACTACTAGCTAACAACAACAACAACTACTCCTACTCCTACTACTACTACTACTACTACTACTACTACTACTTCTACTTCTACTTCTACTACTACTATTACTACTTCTTCTTCCAGAACATACCCTGAAACATACCCGCGAAACATACCCCGATCCCAACATTCCTGGAAGGGGCTCGTCCTTTTCTGACAAACCCATATATATATATATATATATATATATACATATACACATACACACATTATATATATATATATATGTATATATGTAGATATGTTGCATATACATCTGGAGCACGTCGGTTTTTCTGTGTGTATACATACACACATGGCAAGCCCGTCCACAAACGAATCTGCCTTCTCGTGACGTGACATCCCGGAGCCCTTTGATCGGAGCGGTTTAAAGTTCAATTGGAGGGTTCCAAGATCTAATTAAGCAAAATTCACCAGAGATTTTGAGGAGCAACTTGGAAGCCGGTTGGGCTCCATTGGTTGTATTTCAATCGGGTTGAATCGATGAATCCAGCAAGTTCCCAACATCCAGGGGCGCAGGTTAACAAAGAGACCCGCGATAGCGTCACACAATATATTGAAAGTAAGATCAGCAATGACAATCATAAGAAGAAACACAAACAAAGAAACTGAGTCACAATCAAAGTACCACTACCCATAGGGACAGAAGCCCGGCACTGCTGAGCCCGACATTGTGTTGCTTTGTGTCGCGAGGCATAATCAACCCGCTGCACAACTCTCGCTCCCGTCATGCTTATGTTTGGTGCATCGGTGGCTGGTGGCTTTCCAAGATGCTTGGCATGCCTTTAGGGCTTCGGAATAAGAGCCTACATATTGTCTTGATGAGTAAACCGAAAGTCCATCACATTAGTGTAAAGCATGTACGGATAGTTCAAGCGTACAGAGTCCAACGCTGGGCTTCCAGTTTAAAATGCTGTAAGAAAGTTTTCTTGTAGTCCCAAGCTCGGCCGACGTGTCCTGAACACGCCCTCAGTGAGTCCGACTTTTTCTTTAAGCTTGTAGGTGAGCGACGTTGCTGTTGGCCAATGTCATCTCGGCATGGTCATTGTTGACATTAGGCTTTGTCATTGACCTGGCAGGGTCGGCCTGGACGCGACAGGAAATGAACATGACACTTCACTCGGAGGGCTAAGTAGGTAAGAGCGATATCCAGCCTTCTGATCAGCGTCATGTGGCATCAGTGGTAGCAGTTAGCCAGGGCAGTAGTGGCAAGTAGTAGTCGTCGTCGTCGACGTGGTAGTGGATTTGGCAGTGGTGGTGGTGTTAGCTGGTGGTTGCTGCTGGTGGTGGTGGTGGTCGTAGTGGTAGTGGTAGTGGTAGTGGCACTTGCACACGCAGCGAAAGTCCAGTTCGCTCAGCGTCTAGGGCATGCAGTTGCATGGCAGCATAGC